AAAACATTATTTGAGCATGATAATAAACCTTAAAAGCGTCAGCCCTCCAATATGTGCATAAAATTTGCCAAATTTACAGTAAAACATGAGTAGTTACTAGGGATATTTTTTTTAAAAAAAATTTTCAATCCTAGTCTTGCTTTGGACCAAAAAATGAAGCTATTGTATTTGACTGCGGTTTCTTGGTTGGTGAGGGGCGACCTTTCTTAGTTGGTGATATTTGCTTGGCTGCACGACCCTTCTTCTTTTTTCCTCCTTGTGCTGCTGCAACATTTGATGATGCAACTACAGGAGGTGCATTATTAGCTTTGTTAAGTTCCCTTTGTAGATTAAGAGCACTGTGATAATCAACATGCTCTGGGAAGTCCTGTAATGGTATCATCTTGCCACAGGAACTACATTTTTCCATTGGAGGTTCATTCTTCAATTCATTCTCTTCCACGTGTGTCTCAGGGATGCTATTTACAGAATCATTCGAGCGGTGAGGGTGAGAAGCCTTTTTACTGTTTACATTGGATGGGCCGGGTTCATTATTTTCTGGTGGTGTAAGGGTCTCATTTAGCTCTTTCTGAAGTTTCAAAGCACTGTGGTAATCAACATGTTCAGGAAATTCTTGAAGTGCAACTAATTCACCACATTCTTCACATTTTTCATACATCTCCTCAGTATTGTCACAGTTTTCATCAGGGTCATTCGAGCAAATTCCTTCTGATTCTATTGAGACGTTGGCAGATGTTGCACCAAGCAATTTCTTGCTCTCAGGTTTTAATGTAGACGCAACATTAGCACCATTTAAAGTGTCCTCTTTCTTAGATAAAATATACCGAGCAAAAAAAGAGTGAGTGCGAACTTCTTCAAGACTTTCAGGGCAGACTACACGCTCCGTATGCTTTACAGACTGAGAGGGATCATTTCTTTCCACAGAACTTGAGTCAGTTGTCTCAGATTTACTGCTCTTATTTAACCGATTTATTTGACTAAAAGAAGTAACACCCTTACCTATTTCCATATTAAAATTGATCTTTGAATCTGCATTCTCATTTTTTCTACATAAATTTTCATTATAGTCACTCCCCATACTTGTCTCATCTAGAAACATGTCTATACTTGAATCATTGTCGGATGCTGCAGTGCTTGGTTTAAAGTAATTTTCAAGAGAAGAACGTTTAAGCTTTTTCTCTTTAGGCTCTAGAATTTCATCTTCATCGCCACGTCGTTTCTTCATGCTTTCAAGCTCTGAAATTCTTGGACTGCTTTCACTTTCTTTTGACACATGTTTAAAAAAAGACTGAATAGATGTTTTCTGGGAAGTACAGTCATCAGTAAATTTTCCTGCTGATAAACTTATGTTCTTAATTGCAGGATCCCTGGAAAGAGAGAGATGAATAAAGAAAAGCATCACAGTTTTGGGTGCAAAAGAATTAGATGATAATATGTAGGTAATTACGAACCAGACAGGACTAGAAGTTGGAGCTGTGTTTGTTTTAGAGATAAGTTGAATTGCAAGGCTCAAAATACGATCAACATCATAGCATGGAAGAGGACCAGAGCGAGTTACAGTTGCTAGGGAATTACTATCTCCATCTTGACTTACAGAAACAGTGAGATGTTGAGCACGGCGCTTGTTCTGAAAACAACAAAACAAGAAAAAGGTTTCATATCTTTAAACGTTAAGATATCATGAGGGAATGTACAAAGCCAATACTAATTTACATACCTTTGTCTGATCTTCCGTTAAGCGTACAACTAATTCTGAAATTAAATTATGCATCCAATATTCCACATTCTTTTTGGTACTGAGAGCAGTTCGACCAGGAAAGTTTTTGCTACAGCCTATAGATTTGGCTATGAGGCGTACAGTTACTGGTTCATGGTCAATGCCATGAGCGATGTTGTACAACCACAGTCTACCAAACAAAAAAAAGACTCATTCTAATTGAATGACTAAGCACTGCACATGAGATATTCCATAATTAAACAGAGCCTTACCCATTTTTTTCATCATAATGACGTTGCAGGTCTTGGAGGCTAAACTTAGCAAGATCACCCATAGTCTGACAACCTAAACGTTCCACTACTTCCATTCCAAACTTTCCACCAAGGTTACGCATTTTGCGTACCGGAAGAGAGGAAAAAAATATTTCAACCTTGTCTGGTGGCAATACTGTTTGTCGATTTGGCTTATGAACACCACAAACCAGTTTGGCAAGAGGCTGAATGTGAAATAAAAATAGACAGGATAATGCTGATAGAAAAAATTGTTGTAGTGAAACCTCTCTTAAACTTACCTTATTGTAGGATATACCCGCAGAGCAGCGGAATGATGTGCGTTCGAAAACTGCAGCCCGCATCTCTTCAGCGATCATAGCTCCAACAGCAAGTCTTAAACAACTTGGGTCAGAGACATTTTCCAGCCACTTTGCTAATCCTACAGCCCTTTGGTCTGTAAACACAAGGAAATGTAAAGATTTTTTATAAAATGCTAAATTAGAAATAATTTGCATAAAGCCAGAGATTGAACATTTTTAAACTAAAGTTTGGACAATATCTGTATATATGTAAATTTATATTAACTCATAGTAGACAAACCTTCATCGTTTGAATTATCATCAGTGTAACCAATAACAAACGTAGAGGAAAGCTTAGCCGTAGTAAAATCATCATCTGAAAACTGGAGTAACCTTTCCTCAACAGCTTCAGTTATATCCATATAGGATTCATCTATACTAGCAACTTGAATACAGCTGGAAAATTCATGAAGGACATTCACTACTTCCCTTCCAGCATCACGATACCTGAAAAAGAAAACATTCGTTAAATTAAAATTATAAGCAAAGAAAAATCTTACAAGCATTAGAAATAAAAGAAAATATGGGTAAAACAGCAGAGGGATGAAATAGATGTACTTTGTGAGGTCTGCTTTTCCACGGTTTTCTTCAACTCTGCATAAAACTATTTCTGGACATAACTTTTTAGCTTGGTCACCCCGCATTCCTCTTTTCACACCTTTATCTCTGGCCTCATAGTTGACAGCAATTATCCTGCAAGGAAGGCGACCTTTGTGAACGTAACAGATTGGAAAAGAATTTCTTCAACTACAAATATGAGCGGGGTATGAGATGCAATTTAGTAGACAAAATGAAACGGAAGATTCTTACCCGCCCCCTCTCCATGCATTATACTGAACAACAGCCAGAGGTTTCCCACTGTAAATTGGTCGGAGTCGCACTTCAACTTGACAGTAGAAACAGTCCATATCCACCAATACAACCACTCTATTGTCACCCATAATGTCTGTAACCTCGTCAGTGCAATATCACAAGAGAGTAAAATACCAGTTTGTCCAGCAACGATAGACTAAAACTATTAAAACATTGTCATACTGATAAAAATAATACGTTAAAACGAATAACTAGTAATGTCAACAGATAAAACTTCATAAAACACAGAACATATAACGTTGTGAAACAGTTACAACCCCTTTGTTGTGGTTCGCGGGATCTTCATGCAGTTGTACCAACAAAGATTCACATCTATCAGTCTCGCAACACTTTCGTTCGAAACCTCTCTATAAAAGTTTCATTTTATATTATGTTTAATTTCTAAAACAAGTAAACGTGGAAGCTGATGTGAGATCTAAAAGAAGAGAGGTAAAAGCCAGAAGATGTAAATGGCAGCCTGATTTTGGGCATGGCCTTTTCGAAGTGTGTAGAAACTTAGCAGCCGTCTAGCAGACGTTGCTGGTTGTGGTAGCGGTGGTGGTGGTGGTTGTGTTTTTGGTTGTTTGCAAGTGACGTTGCGTCTGGAGAATGTCAATGTTATTTATTTACATGATGCGTGGCTCGCTCAAGGCATGACATTCACCCGAGGGTGCATTCGCTCCAGTAAACCTCGGACCAAGGTAAGCGGTGGGTCTCCGGGAGGAATTGGAACGGAACGACCCAGTTTTCTTAGTACCATGTAGGTTATACTAAATGTCATTTTTTCTGCTACTATAGGAGATGATGGGCCATGGATCCGCCGCCCTCAGAATCCCGTCAGGATCTTGAATCCTTGAAGTCGACTGCTTTTGTGGTGCACTTTGAATCTCCTAATGCTACAAGACGACCCACACATAACAAACGGATGAGACATATGCGAAACTTGTCGCTCCCAATTACTGGTTTTTACAATAGTCAGGTCAGTATTTCTTTTCAAAGTACTATTTTGTTGGTCTGGATAGTATTTTGAATGCTGTCATTTCCCATAAAAGGATGTAAATGAGACACACCCCTTACCTGCTTAGTATGCGAGGAGCCCACTTTCTGTTGTGCCACTTGCTGTACCATAAATGGAGACGCTTCCTGCCATACCCTCTTCAGTGTGCTTAGTTAGCTGCAGACCCTGTTGAATTGACTTAGGGATTCTGTTTTTGATTTTTTATGTAGTGTTTGACTTTTCTTCTTCAGGCAAATGAGTCAGTAGCAGCACCTCCCAGTGGTGCTCCGCGGTGTGCAGGTTACCACTCTGAAGGATACTTCTCAAGTGATCAAGAGGATGACTCAGCCCGTTCTCGTTTACAGAATGGTATGTTGTTTGAGAGAGCATTGAAATTTATTCTAATTATGACAGTAAATTACTACAATGTCAGACTATTTTAATTTCAGTGAGACGTCCAAGTTTAGGAAATGGTGAGACCTGTGCTTTATCTCCTATGGCAGAAAATGCACCAGGTATTGGCGACAAGAACAATAACGGTGATGATGAGTCTGACACATTAAGTGACACAGGAACTTACACAATTGATAAAGAAACCACAGAAGTGAAGCATGCTCGAAATGCAATATCAAAAGTGTTTGGTTTGCATGAAGAAAGCAGAGATGAAAATAATGTTCCAGTAAGCTTATTTGATTTGAATTAACAACATTTCTAGTTTGTACCCTTCAATTTACTCATCTAATTGTCTTTGTATTAAAATATTCATAGAACAATCATCATGAAAATAGTTGGGTATCAGAATGGGCGAGCCGTCTAGTTTCTGCTCAACGAGATCCTGCACCCTCTCCAACAACAGGTGTGTATTTGCTGTGTTTTAATAATGTCATTAGCAAGTTCATTGTCAGTAATTTTTTTTTTTTTCATCCAGAATGTAGACCTATTTGTAGCCCAAGATCTCCTCAAAGGTTAAATCATCTTAGTAAATCTGAACCTCAAGTGTGTATATTAATTTTTTGATTATGATCCTTTTTTTTGTTATTCATCTGAGTAATGTTTTTTTAAACATATTATTCTTTGATTTCAGTTCGAGGAAGATGACTCTGCTTTAGAAACAGCTTCATTTTTACGAACAACAGAATCAGTTGTGAGCGCCATGACTGCACGTATGTCTAATAGTCTCTCTTTAGACTCTGGTGATGAATCATCAGATATAAGTGATCCTCTAGGACCCACAATCAAAAAGCGGTTGGCCCCAGCTACTACTGAAATAGCATCAATACAAACTAGACCGAACAGAGCATTTAGGTTTGTGTATACCCTTTATTCTATGCTGAATTTGGTGACTTCAAAAGAGTTAAATGTATTTCTTTGTCATTTTAAATAGTTTGCGGCGAGCTAGACTTGGCTGTGATGCACCTGCAGAAGATCGCAAGAAAGGTGCAATTTTGGCTACAGAGCCAATTCAGGTGTCTGTGCCTGCTCCTGCTCCTGCTCTTGCTCCTGCCCCAGCAGCAACATTTGTACCTACAACAACAAGTAAACAGTGTCGGAAAGGTTCAGTTGATTCATCTCGTAGCTCTTCTAACTCATCGCCTAAGACTGCTAGCCCTAAGACGGCAAGTCCAAAACTGTCAAGTCCGAAAATGGCAAGTCCTAGGCCTGTTCGAGCAGAGCCATTTGCTCGTACAGATTGTGGACGTTTCAGTATGCGTACCACTAAATCTGCTACTCCGGTAGGAATTTTTTTGCATACTGATTGTATGAACATGTGAAAAGAACTACATAAGACTATAGTCATGTTCCTTACAGGTCCTCTCAGCCATAAAAAAGGATGCAGGTCAACCTAAAACTGGCAAGAAGTTGGTTGGAGTGGGCACTAGCACAAGAAGCAATTCAACTCTCTCTTCACGAGAAGTTGAGTTTCAAAACTGGAAGAGAAGGAAAAGCTATGATCCTATGAAAGCAGCTGCGGAAGGGAAAAAAAAGGAGCAACCAGTTAAGAAACCAACAAGTGCTCTTAATACACCTGCTTCCTCCACTTCTGCAATGACTTCTGCTATTCCTACTGCTGTTCCACTGCCAAGTCCTACAACAAGGTGGCCTGCATTATATTTTACTGGTCTAGCTATTTTCATTATTCAATACCATACTCATTTAACCTCTTCATTTTCAGTCCAACTAACCATGTGTTGAGATCTGCATCATTCCATGGTCATGGTCATGGTCATGGTCTTCTTCCCTCCTACAATGATTTTGATTCTGAGGAAGATGAAGATGAAGATTACAGCCAGTCTCCCCCTGGGCTTGCTACTTGCCCAAGCCCGGTGCATTCCACACCACCAATGCAGCAGGTACACTTATTTTAAATCCTTCAAATTTATTTATTTTGTTACCATTTACAGATTAATCTCAGTCTGTTGGCACACAAACATTACAAACCTTTTCCTTTTTCCCTAGACCATGGACAACCTTGTTATTGTTGCTTTATCGGGAATATCCCAGAAGCTGAAATGTAGTTCAAGCAATCTGCTCAAAAAGCTAAGGTAATTTTATAACAATGTATTGTAGTTAATTTTTTTTTAATATTAAGCAAGTATTTGTCTATGTTGAACCATGCTTATCTTGTAAAAGGAATACTCATTTCATTATTTCCAGGTACCTGTATGAATCAGATAGTATTGCTGCTGAGCGGCTTGATATGCAAATACACCTCCTGGAAGAGGTTGATAGAACAACACCCACTTCTCCACTAAGAAGTCCGTCCAGAGAACTTTCATCTACTTTGAGAAACTTAAAGCGTTTAGAGAGTGCTCTGCAAGGTAAAGGATCTTTTTTCCTTTTAGTTTGGAAATCTTGACAAATTTTATGAAACTCCAGACTGTGTTTCAAAATTTTGC